ACGCTCCATTCATAACAGGGCTGCAGTTTGAATTCTGACCAATAGGAATTCGATAAACGCAACCGATGTCGACGGATAAACTAGAGATGGGCGCGAGTGTCATTTCATTTCTTTAGAACTAAATTAACTTAATTATTTTCTCGTTATTTAACCTGTTCACATGATTTATGGATTTTAAATAAAGGGTACAAATCTTCGCGAGGATAATACGATATATTTGCTATACATAATAATTATATTTTGCATAGTTTATACACAATACATTTTTGAACGCGTACACATCTCTACCAAAATTTGACCTATTCTTCGGGTTAAAGACACACATTGTCCGCTCTCTATTAATAATATAGCTATTCACTTTGATGTGGACGAATCATATTAACTAACATATCGTTCGTGAACATACATTGTTCAGGAACAATGTCAGCTAACTTTGATTAGCGAATGTTACGAAGTGAATATGGCAAGTTAAAAATGTTTCATATTTCTTACCGTTCCATTCATTCCCATTGCCATAGTTGTCTGAAACGACTAAAGTGCTAACGCAGGGATGAGTCAGGCTCATAGTAAGGAATATTAGGCACATTATAACCAAACAGGGCCATATTCGAAAGAACGCAACCTTAATGTCTTCTTTCGAGTGCTTTTTCTTCTTATCTTCCAGCTCTATCTGCATGTAATACTTATAGAAGGTCAGGTGTTGCACGAGCAGATATAATACTAAGGTTAGAAAGATTACTAGGGTGCCTGCAATGAAATAGAAGAGTGCTGAAGTTTCCGTGGAGGTTCCAAGAGCCAAAGATATAATTTGCAAGGTTGCGTTGAAAATCGACGCCATTCCCTGGCCGAATAAGAAGGTCTTCATATAAACTGGAGGGAATTTCGATATAATAAACATAGAGGTGACTTGGAACAGGTTAATGCAACCTAAAAGAAAATACATATTTCAGTATCTCTTGGTTCCTTTTTAGAGGTATTTTCTTACCTGTTATAAGAGCCATTCCCAGAAGAGTGAGTACAAAAAATGCTACCTGCCCTAAAAAATATCTTAGTTGTCAACAAAATATAAGAAGTTGTACTTATACAGGGTGTTCAGTTACTGGGAGAGGAAGTACAAATAATTTTTTCTTGCTTTACTTCCGAAAAGTAGGATGTTGGAGTTGAAAAATTTGAGTTTTTGAGAATTTCGTAGACTAATTTTTCTATAATTTGACAGGGGAGGAACCTTATCATTAGATATTAGAGACATGGGTGAAATGATCCCTGTGAGCAAAATAATCCCCCTCATTTTTTTAAGAAACTAAACTGTAAGAAAAATTGGACATATTTTTAGCTGAATGATTTCCGGGCCGGTACAAAATTTTCGAAAATTAATCTGTCTGCAATCTTAGGTTAGATTCAAAGTCTATATGAAACAAGATCTCCATCCTATGAGGTAAAATTTAGATTCCCACAATCGCAATAGTTATTTTAAAACAAATCCACAGAATACGGAATATAAGAAAATAAATTATTGAAAAAATTTGATGTCCACACTTTTGATTAGCATCCACATCAGTGCGAATTGTTTTAACAAAAGAAAGTTGTTGTTTAAGTACGTTTACTGTTTTGCGTAGCAATTAATTTCCCGTCGTTTTCCAAAGGGATCAGTTTACCTCAAAGAAGGAATCATTTTAAGAATGAGTAAAATGATCCTTTTGTATATTTAAGAGAAAACTCCTTAGGAAAGCTGTTGATTATTTTAATGCATTTATACGTTAAACCCAATGAACGATAATGACAGTAAATGCTTCTCAAAAACTCGAAGAATATTAATCGTTTATTGTAGAGATTATTTTGTTTGGCCGATTAGTAACTGAACATCCTGTATACAGGGTGATTAACAACTTATCCAAAAAAATTTGGAAATAGATGCGGCATGAGAAATGGAGTAAATATTGTAAAAAAAAATTGTAAAATCCTTATAGTTTCTGAGAAAAAAATTATTGAAGTTATAGCACATTAAACCACTACATAGCTGGACAACTGTAGTCTCTAGCGCCATTTGCAATACGCGTGGAGAGCCATGTGACTCCTAATACTGAAATCCGTCGTTGCGGTAGTTTTTACCTGTTATCTGTGGTATTTACATCAGTTTTTTAGTATAGCAACTCAGAGTTGATGGATATCGTTTTAATTTATGGTGAGCAAGACAACATTTATGTTAGTTCGTAGAAAGTGAGTAAGACGGACCCAAATGTGTTTACACGTGAGTGTTTACACAATTGCTGTTGCAGCATCGGGTATGTCAAATGATTTTATTATTTAAAAACACAAATTAATTTTATTAATAATTAATAAAGGCAAAAACATTTGAAGTTGCCGATATAAAATAGGTGCGTTAAAATTCTATTTACATATTTCTTTCCTTGCGAAAGTTTTTGTCCGTTTTTATCACGCCGCCATACCGGTCGCATTGTGCGAGGTCAGGTTTTACAGTGGACCAGTTTCCAGTGCCGTGCAGAAGTGTATTTTTAAATCAATTTCGAACTGACCTTTTTGATTTTTTCTTTACAAAATCGTATTTGTAAGGGTCCCCTGTACATCTAGAATTTTTTTTTGATAAGTTCTGAATCACCCTGTATAAAATATTCCACAATAACATATAAATTTTAGAAGCAATAGAATATCGAAAATAAGATTTTTCTCATCTATGAATTATGAGTTTATCATCTTTTAGTTTCATGATAACAGGTCGTTAAAGTTGCTTCTTTTAATTGAATTTTGAGTGAAAGAAATGAATCGTATTGAATTTCGCTAGGCCTTTGTTTTCAGAAGTCATAATTAGACAGGTTTGATTATGATTAGTTTTTAAACAAGTTATACAGGGCATGACGTTATGTTGCAAGCTAGAAATATTTTAAGGCAGAGCTTCTTTGAGATCAGGATTTGACATATGGTATGACATTTCTATGTACAACTATATTTCAATGCTACACTCTTGTCAAAGTTCACCCACCCCTTCTTTTTCGAGAAAAAGCAAACACTCTTTTAAATTGTTTTAATGAATTTTAATTTGTACGTTTTCTGTCATGATTGAATAACAAAAGTCATACTTAGTTCATACATTATATTAATAAGCGATATTGTTTTATAGTTTATAATAATATACCCAGAGAATTTTGAGCAGTATACATTTTTCGTGTATCTACATAAGAAAACGGTAAAAAGATGGCAGACTTGTAGATCATAGCAAAAAAATGGTATTTTCGTTATATTACCTCAAGAATTATTGGTACATCATTCTGATTATTTGGACAACAATTAATTTTGTAAAAATACACTGGCCAAAAAAAAAACTCCTATTAGGATATGTTAATACACAACTTTCATGATTATATGACTTAATAATAAATACGTCTGTGTACGTATATGTTAAAATTATTAGTAGGAGTTGTTCCCGTACGAATTCTTTCGCATACATTGTAAAAAAATTGTATACTTACATGTGTCTGTGTTAACCTTTATGAGGACAGTAAATACAACAAAAATAATATTTATTGGAGTCAACGATATAATAATCCTGGGTTGTACTTTAAATCTATGTCCGAAAGTTGCCGCTAGTAACATAGTCGCCATAGAGGGTATAGTTTGGACTACCAGACTTCCTGACACGAAATATTTTTCAAGGGTCGTCTTATTATTCAGATCTACCGTGTCCTTTGCAGGATCTCTAAATTTATACATCCAGTACTACAAAAAAAATAGGTAGTGAAGTAAGCATCAATATTTCTTCAGTGATTCTAATGTCTCATATCCGGTACCGTAAAAAATAGATAGGTACTTTCAGTAAGCATTAGATTTTACATTTAGGGTAAAATTATTCTTAGCAAAATCGCTACAAAATTGAGCTATATGGGAGTATATCAGTTTTACAAATTTAGGCAAGTAAGACATAATTCCTTATATATTTATTTATTTATTTTGAATGAGAGACAAACGGGTTACAGACAGCCTATTATACAGGGTGTCCCTTAAAAGGATGGACAATGCACACACAGGCTCCTTTGGTGAAAATAAGACTATTTAGCCTAACTTACCTATATGTATACAAAAGTGCACGCCTACTCAGATATAGCTTTCTATACAGGGTGTTTCTTAATAACGTGCTAATATTTAATGAGGTTATTCTTGGGTCCATTTTAAGAAAAAAACTTCATGTGAACATATGTTCTAAAGGTATTAACTTTTGAACTACAGGGTATAAAGTTTTATGAAAAAACATTTTTTTATGATAACTTTGATATTACCTATCTTAGATATTTTTTCAAATTTGGTACACGCCTTCTATTCATCGAGATGCATTTTCTGATGTAGGTACAAACAATTTTATTATTTTTGCCAGTGGCGTCTGTACAGGTTTTGTATTGAATATTTTTGAAGAAAAATATGTTACGCCACTGCCTTTTCTTAAAGTAAAAATCATATCTGAAATCCTAATTCCTTTCCGAGCAAATGTGGTGTCTTGAATTTTTTCGTTTGACGTACGGTTTTTGCATAAAAAAATAAAATTCATTCATTTGCATCTTATTGGACAACTTACGAGAAAAAAAAAAGATTTATGTAACTTTGAATAATATTTTATTTAAGATAATAACTTTTAAACATTGAAATTATGAAATTACAGTAATCTACATACATTATGGAATGATAAAAGAAAATTACGCTGGCGTAAGATATTTTTCTTCAAAAATATTCAATACAAAACCTGTACAGATGCCACTGGCAAAAATAATAAAATTGTTTGTACATCAGAAAATGCATCTCGATGAATAGAAGGCATGTACCAAATTTGAAAAAATATTTAGGGTAATACCACAGTTATCATAAAAAAATGTTTTTTCTTAAAAATTTAGCACCCTGTAGTTCAAAAGATAAGGCTTTTAGGACATATGTTCATATGGAATTTTTTCTTAAAATAGACTCAAGAATAGCCTCCTTAAATATTAGCATGTTATTAAGAAACACCCTGTATAGGATAACCTAGTTTTTTTCAAATAATTTGAAACCTATTTTTCTTAGAAACTTCAAATTTAATATACATATTCGTTATATAAGGGCAATGTAAATAAAGAATTTGATGAAAATACATATACAGGATGTTCTCTTTCTGTGCTATCCGTAACTCTTTTATGTGTACGCCAGTGACGAGAGAATTTATATTTTTAAAAATATGTAAGCACTATTTTAGAAGATTTTTTGCCTCTTACAAAATCTTGATATCGTTTATGGATTTCGGGTAAAATTGGCATTTCATTCATTCATTGTATAAACATATTGCTTAGGCGTTAGGATTCTATAAATGTCATGGTTTTACATAAATTGAAGGGAACTTTGTTTTCTACGTAAATTACGTTTAGGTATATCATTTTATATTTGTGAATATCATTGACATACATGAGACAGTCTGATATTATACGTTTTGCATTTATAAAAATTAAAAAAGTAGTGGTCCCAAATTTGAACCCTGTGGGACGCCAAAACCGGCCAGATATGTATCAGAATCAATACTCTGATAACAAAGAAATTGTTTCGGTTCGGAAGAAAATTACTAGATAGTCACCCAAACCAAGTGCATGTGATTTGAAAAGTAGTGTGTCATGACTTACTCGATCAAAGGCAAAATCAACCTCTTTTCCCTCATTGAAAGTTATATTATCTTTATTAACAAAAGTAGCTAAATTAGTTTCTACTGACCTGCAACAGAAAAAACCATGTTGTTGACACACAATCAGATTTTTTGTAACTTCATATGTACATCTTATCATAAATGACAAATTTGCTATACAGTTTAGGCCAGTAATGGGTCTCTAATTTTTTACCAAATTCTTATCATCTTTTTTGTGTATAAGCGTTATCCTAGCCATTTTAGAATATGTTGGTAATGTACCACTGTTTAACGATTTTTGAAAAATTATTAGTAGGTAATGGATATAAAAGAATATCTTATCACAATTGTCTTTTTTTCTATATAGAGATATCGAATTTTTACCACTTGTATTAAGTTTTGCTACCATACACACATTGTATTAAAATAAAGATTTTGAAGTACTCATAATTTTAATAAATTATTAAATTATTTCACGCAGACCTATAAATAAATTGTGATAAGAGAAAATCGGTATCTTATTTTTTTTGGTTTGAGAAATCAATTAGAGCAAAATATAAGACCTAGATGGAGTTCAAAGGAGAATCCATGTGCCTATTTTTACCATTTTTGTTAATTATAATAACCAACATATCCATATATATATTTATGGTACTATTCTATAACATATTCCAGCGACTGTAAGCGATGGCATTTAAGAATTTTTTAATAAATGTAATCAATAATATTGCAAAAAGTATTTATCAGATTTAGTTAAAATCTCAAAAAAGCAAATATAAATATTTCTGTAAACGTTATGATTACAATTTATGATATTTTTTTATCACTATTATAAATATAAATATAAATTTAGAGCATAGGTAATAAGAAAACTACGGAATAGCTCCATTAATCATATTTGAGGTACATTTCATTTTATATTGTACTTGGTTAAAGCGTAATATTATGACAATACTAACAGAATAACGAACATAATATCAGTTATTTAGTAGTTTAAAATATATAGTACTTAAATCAATACCGATATAATAACAATGATCTTTATGTCTGCAGCTGAATGTAGAATTGTATAGATTACATAGGTAATCGCATAAATCAAATATATCTGGTGTTTCAGGAGGAATAGTCAATACTTTAATATGATATAATATCGTTTATTTTTAACGAAAAAGTTCATATGAATGTGTGTCCAAATCTCAATGGTTACTGAGATACGGCCAGTGGAAATAAAGCACAAGCGAATATCATTTTATTAATTTTAATATCCAATATTTGATATATAAAATAGAATTTTGATTTTTAGAGATTAAATGTATGGTTCAAAAGTTTTACCGTCAAACTCCGCACACTTCGCTGTTCTAACGAGAATGTTGCGTATTGTGTTGTGCAGTTTTTCCGGGCGTCGCTTTATTATCGTTGCAATGTCCATAATGCGAGCGATCAGTTCATCACGCGTATTCACATTTTCTTTATAAACATCACTTTTCATTCATCCCCATAATCCATAACTTATTGGAGTTAGTTCTGGAGACCTAGCTGGCCAATTGATAGGACCACTGCGACCAATCCACTGGTCTCCAAAAGCTTGATTTAGATATGTCACCTGATGGCTGTAATGAGAGGGAGAACCATCATGTTCGAAAATCATACTGGCCCTTGTGGCCAAGGAAACATCCTCTAACAATATTGGAAGTTCATTCCGCAAGAACTCTAAATAACTTGTCGCTGTTAGACATCTATTGTCAATCATTCCAGTCCAGATATTTAGTGAGAATATTTGCTGGATATTTGATTCTACACTGGCATGTGATGGGTTGTCGTCAGACCAAAACTGATTGTTGAATATATGTTAAATATATTAAAAGTCGATTCATCGGTAAAAAGTATCAGAACAAGTTGGCGATTAACATTTATCCACTCACAAAATTTCCAATTTCTTGGCATGATCTCTTGATTCAAAGTGTTACACTCGTTGGTTATGAAATGGATACAAGCCTTACTTACCCATTGTTCGCCATACTCTTACATGAGGAATTTCGAACCGTGCAGAAATTCTTCTTGTGCTTGTAAACGGACTGCGTTCTACCAATTTAAGAATATTTTCAACTTCATTCACATTTTGTTCAACTGCACGTTTTTGGAAAAAAACCGCATTTCGTAGTGTCGAATGTTCTAATAAATGCTTTTGGTAGGTAACACTCGGTTAGGAAATCGTCTTTGATATTCTCTACGATCTGCAGGTGCTCTCCCATTGCAAAACCCATGACAAAACACCATATCAGCGTATTTAAAGTGAGTAAAAAAGCTTACTCGATAATTTATCTGTTTTGCGCTCGACGCAATCGACATTGAAATTGCTGTATCTCAGTAGCCATTGAGATTTGAACACATTTATGCCCAGATATTAACTTTTTTATTCAAACGATACTATAACATACCGAAGTATTGACTATTCTTCCTGAAACACTCGATATAACGTTTAATTCTAAAAAAATGTAATAAAGTATTAACATTTATTATATACCTAAGCGTATTTTAGTCCTTTTATATAAACTTATTACGTTTTAAACTGGTAATATATTGGTGTAAAGTTTATGTATGTAGATCAGACAGCTATCAAAGTCAATAATTTATATTTGTTAGATTTTTGCAAGCGTTTTGCCAATTATGTCAAATTTTCAATTATGATAGGTTGGCTTAGACAAATCTCCCAGAAAAAATTTTTGTCGTATTTTTATAACCTATATTTTAGATGATCTAAAAATATTCAAATTTCTTTCATACACAGTTTTTTTAAGTCAATAATGAACATAAAAGAAATTCTACATTCGAGTTATTTTATTTATTAAATTATTTATAAGTATACAGGGTGTTCCTAATTAAGTGTCGCAATGGAAAACTGTAAATTCCTCTTGAGAAGAGAAACATTTTTTCCTCTTCCATTTTTCTCTCCGGGCGTTCGTTTTCGAGATACACGGTGTCAAAACTTTTTTTCAGATTTTTCCCAAAATCTTAGGAATTGAACTACAGGACTGAGTTTTTGTACACACATTACCATTATTAATAGCTACTTGCTGCAAATGTTGTTAAATTTCGTTAAAATTGTTAATTATTACTACCTATCTGAATTACAAAAGTTTTTCGAAACGTTAGCAAAATGTTTGTTTTTGTTCATAAAAAGTCATTTTTCTTGAACACTGTTGACTTTAGAGCAATGAACCAAGAGAACTCTTTTTGTGTAAAATTCATTGGCGCTTCAGAATTTGCTGTCAAATGTCAATTTTTCCAGTGGCGTAAAAGTTAGGGGGGAAACCCTTACGATACCTTAAAATCTCCACCACTGGGACGTTCAATGAATTAGAGAAGGGTGCGAAAAAGTAGCTATTAATAGTGGTAATGCGTGTACAAAAACTAAGTTCTGTAGTTCAAACGGTTCCTAAGATATTGGCAAAAAATAAAAAAAAAATTAAAGTTTTGACACCGTGTATCTCGAAAACGAAAGCCCGGAGAGAAAAATTGAAAAGGAAAAGAATGTTTCTTTTTTCAAGAGGAATTACAGTTTTCCGTTGCGACACTTATTTAGGAACACCCTGTATAAAGCAATTATTTAGAACTTACATCGTTAGCCGTTATGAAGAAAGTCAAAGGAAGCATATTGAGCGCACCAAATAGTAAACTTAAAGTGTGTACCATGTACAAAGTATCCTTGGGCTTGTGTTTGTCTTTACTTAATTTATCCACCAATCCATCAGGTTTCCTTATGGAGATCAAGGACACTGAAAATATTATTTAGGATTAAATCAACAAGAAGTTTTTCAGGTTTTCATATTACCTCTCCTCAGAACATCGGACATCTCTTGCAAGTTATCCATCTTCGCTGGTGTTCGCCTTCGCACTGGTAACGGCGGAGAATGAAATAAAAACTCTCTTATATATGTATATATAAGATAATGCGTGATACTTAAAATACTATTGTGAAGTGGATACTTTTTGAAACAATGTCATATGAGTAATTTACGTTATAATCCGTAATTCCTCATATGAAGATAAATTTTGATTACTAAAAGATATACTTACCACATATTCACTGAAGAATAGATAATAATCAGCGTTAATAAAAGCAAATTGCAGTAATTTCGCAGTAAATAAGTAATAAGCAAACTCACTTTCATCACTCAATTACTGCTGTTAAACGTTGAAATTCCGAGAGCCCCTGTCATTTTGAGGGTAGTCGTACAACATTGCTCTGTTACAATTGTTCTAGAGTCGGTAATAGATACAAATATTTAGTCCGTATCCCATTATTTTTCCATTTCATTACTGGGAGTCAAACGCATCTTTATAAATTGGTATTTTGTTAGGTTTTGAAATATATAGTTATTTATTGTCTAAGTATTTTAAGTAGCATTTTATCCACGCACGAATGTTTAAACGCGAGAACGTAGTTCGAGAGTTTATTATTCTTAAGTGGATATAAAGAAATTAAAACGCGAACGCAACATTGTGCAATAAGTGCGGTAAGTTGTCTATTGCCCACGAAGTGAACTGAGTGCGCTCATCCGCTCAAGTGGGCAATAGACAACCGCACGAATTGCACATACTATTTTTTATTACGAATGAAATGAAATCTTAGAGTCCAGGAGCAAAGCTCCGGTGGGGTCCACATATTCTATTCAGTTTAAGTTGACATAAATAACTGTTATTTAAATGTCACTTTTTAAAAATAATATTTTTATTACTCATGACGGATAAGTCCTATCTTTTCGCATGTTTTTTAGGTCGGTAACTAGCTGTTTGTCCACTCTATTGATTTGCGTGTAGTAATATTACTTGTCGCACGAGAATTGCCAATAAAACACGCAAAATTTAAATACCTACACACTCGAAAGTATTATTTTTTTAAAATGACATTTAAATGACATTTTTATTTTAAAACTGTTTTTGGTGTCGAACTTTAAGGGTGTATTTCGCCCCGTAAAAATGTTTTTCCGCCGATAAAAAAATACGTGTCTTTTAATCTTTTATGTTCTACAACATATATAAAAATCTTGAAAATCGGGGTGTTCGGGTTGGGGTAGTTTCCTTGTAAGAAAATTTCTTGTTTTCTTAATGTTTTAGACAAAAAAATATATGATATAGGTATATTTATATTATTGTTATCACTATGTTATTACAATTCAAACTACAAGTCTACAAGTATTAATAAATAAATTTCCACGTTTTACATAGACAAGAATGCGTAAAAATATCGAGCTTTAACAAAATTTAATCAACAAAAATATTACTCCTTATTAATATTTACCTTTTTGAAATTACCAATGGATATTGAGCTTACAATAATTCAAAGAAACACACGTTTACTAACGCACGCGCATTGACAATAGCGAACGAAATTATCTATCTTTGTCATAGGCATACTAAGTTGTCCACGACTTCGGTACCATGGTGCGACAAAGCGAACGTGATTTTTTTGTCTTTGTCTTGGCAGTGTCGTAGGAGCTAAATAAAATTCAGATGATAAAAAGGTAAATAAATTTGTAGCTGTCTAAGAAACCAACGTAAAAAAAATTCGAAGGCAACTTTTCATTATTTTAAATAATAATCAATCGAATAGTATAGAAATAACATTGTTTTAGTTTTGTTAAATCATTAAAATTAACGATTAAAAATTTGATTTTGTAATAACTTTCTTATTAAAAATTAAAATATATATCTATTTCTCTGAAAAGAAAAGTTACATTTTTTAGAACAGATTGAAAAATAAAATTACAAAATTCATTCATTTTTCTGTTATGATTTTTTTAAATTTCTGAAATCTCCCTAACCTCCCTAACTCTGTTAATTTTAATAGTACAAAAAAAATCAAGAGGCCATTTTTATGTAGAATTGTATGCTTTACGACTTTTATGAAATTTTTTTCTAGCCCTTACCCTTTTTGAGTTATCTTGAAAAAACCCTTTGTTTTATTTTTTTTCACCCTTGGCCGGGGGTTGAACAAAAAATTACTCTCACTTATTGTTATAATATATCTTAAACTAACTCATATCAAAAATTCAGTCAAGTTTACCAAAATTTCGATTTAAAGGCTTATTTAATTGGACTAATTGTATGAGGCGCAGTTCAACAACTTTATTGGCCAATAAATGTGTCCTGATCTTACAACCATCAAACGGCGTGGTGTATGGAAGAGCAGAAAGTTATATTCAGGAGTATATAAGTAACAAACTTGATATTGCAAGAAAAATCCAAAGAAAATATAGCTGCTCCTCACAAGAAGAGACATCCGTAACTTTGCAAATTCTTCACAAACTTCGGCAGATATCCGATGGCAACAATGCTACAAGGGTTGTTATTAACGGAAAGTAAGTTAAATGTGATAAAACAAAAAACGAAATGTCTATTACTATAAATGTAAATGTTAACGTGAAGTAAATTAATTAAATTTGTTTATTATTTTTTCACTATTCTACTAGCGATTTTAAAAGTTCGAAAAATTTTGATTTCATAAACAAATATTTTCGTGAAGCGGTTTTTCAGGTTGGAAAACATACCAAAGTACTACAAAATAGTTCTCGGACAGATGCTTATCTTTAAAAAAAGAACGTTCAAATCGGTCGACTATCGATATTAGTACAGACGGCTATTCTGTTTATCGTTTGCAATTAGATAGAAATAAAAGTATTGGGTGCGGTCGAATGTTATATCACATTTTTTGAACGTACGATTTCATATTAACTGAACACACAGTAGATCAATATTCAACTAAAAGTTCCAAAAGAGATTAACTGAGAACAATATATCAAGATATTTGTTTAAAAACAGTAAAAAAATAAAAAGCCTTCTTCTTCTTTTAAAAGTAAGTACTGTCCTACTTAAATAAGTACATATGGTCACCGTAGCTATACAACGCATCTCAGTTATACAAAATTTTGATCTGTAAGTTTTATCGAACGGGTAAAATCGTTTAACAAAGTAAGTGAGGCCACTATGGGGGTTTCTAATAATTACGTCAAGTTACAATGCATGTTTTAATTCATAGGAAAAATTTACATAAGAGAGATATAATTTCTTATCACAAGTGTCTTTATTTCTATATAGAGATATCGAATTGTTAGCACTTTTTTATATAAATTTGCCAGCATATGTTCATTGCAATGGAATGAATATTTGAAGTGCTCATAATTTCAACAAATTATTTGTAGCGAACCTATAGTTAGATCTGAATAAGAGAAAAAACTGGAGTAAAATATAGAATCTAGCTGGAGTTCAAAGGAAAATTGAAATAGTTCCATACCTCTAATTTAATAATTTTTAACTAATTATAATAAATAACATATACATAAATGTGCCATAAATTAAATTAATTAAAATTTTTCAAATTTCCGCATGTTCGAATAAAAAAATTAATTCATTTTAAGAATGTCGATTACAACTTTATACTTAATCTTATTCGAGTTACATTCCATTTTGTATTGTTTGGTCTAAGTGTGATATATGTTAATACTAATAATGGCATAATATACATACCCTATTTAAAAAAAACTAGAGTGACGTCATATCCTAAACGCAACTAGTATCACCTATGCGTGCGTTACATCAAAAAGTACGAAACAAATAAAAACAAAGTCGATCTATTCCCATATTTTGCAAACAAATACATAATAAAAGTATTATTCCAAACTTTTGGGACTTACGGTATAAATTAAACCATAATTAGCATTAATAATAAAGTTTGTCTCCAGCCGAATCTACATAATATTCAGAAAAGCATATTGAAAAACTGTTTCATACAAATAATGCAAACAGGACAGAAAATACACTGAAGAGGAAGTTCCCCGCTTTTACATGTTTTCATACTTCATACAGGGCGTGGCGTGTATAATCTATAAATTACAACTTCCTAACGATATTTGTAAAAGAAAAGTCGTATACGAAAAAATTCTATTTCGTGTTTTTTTTTCGTAAATTAAAGTTCAATTATGGATCAAAATATTTTCTCTGGGACGGTCCTGTCCGCGTGGTGTACGATGAATTACGTGCTGTAGACCAGCCGGTAAACAAATCGTCGTTGAAAGATAGAAAAATACTTCTCAATTTTTAGGGAATTTTTCAATGCAAAAGTACAAACTAAGAAAAATAGATATTTAAAAAACTGATATTTTCTTATTACAATAATTAATAGTAATTACAATCTTAGATGCATTGTTGTTACTGCAAGAGTTCGCAAACAAAACCACATCCATAAGCATCTGTAGTTGCCAACTGCGTGCACTAAACAAACTCCATTAAAATATGGAACAAAATGAAATAAAACTTACCATTTCTAGAGAAAATGTTGAAATTGATCCCTATTAGCGCGGGTACAGGCATAGCTCCGACGCACCCAATTTTGGCGAATATTTTCTCAAATTCCAGGTATTCCCCTAATTGTGTCAGCAGCTTTAAGTATACGGTTTCGCAATTCTTCCACCGTAACAAATGGAGTATTGTAAACCAATGACTTCAAGTGATTCCAAAGATAAAAGTTCATTGGAGTTAGATAGGGTGACCAGGTGGCCACGGCACAGGACCAAAGCGTCCAATCCATTGCTGAGGAAACATTTCATTCAAAAGTATTGTTACTTCTCGAGTACTGTGTGGAGGAGTTCCATCTTGAAGATAAAATATGCGTGCCCGAACTTGTAATGCCATATCGTCCAATAATTTAGGCAACCGGTTCTCCAAAAAATCAGCATATATGTTGGTCCACCGATGTTGAAAATGAGTTTCCTTAATCGCGTGAGGATTTTCATGGGCCCATATGTGCACATTATGGATATTCACTTCATCACGGGTAAATGTCGCCTCATACGTTACACAAACATAAGCAGGAAAGTC